GTTATATATGTACATAGTAATTATCTCTATTTATTGTTCATACTATATGTCATATTTCTCTTGCCTTTAATGATCTAATAGATAACTATTATTTAATGAGTTTGTTTGTCAAACTCACACTTTGATATTTTTACATAACATGTTCTATTCAACCACCAGTAGGGTCGTCTCCATCAAAACAAGTTTTATCAGTTTTAGAATTCCTATCTTAGTATTTGATTTATCGATTTTATTTTTCTTTTTAGGGATGGGTGGTCATTTTTTGTTGTCATTGCATCTGATTCAATCAATTTTCTATTTTTCTTTTAGTTGTATTAGTGCACTGTTAATTTTGAGATAAAATTTATATTTTTGTGTTATTCCTATTTTTATTTGCATTTTTTTTTCTTTTAAAAATTACAATAGGTTCAATTCATTTCATCATGCCCTGTGTTGTCCAGGTGTAATACCTTTCTGACCCAGAGTATGACATTACTTATATATGAAAATGTGTATTTAATTTTTAAAAGTTAAAATAATAGTTTTTTTATGTGATATGAAAACTCAATTTGTATAATGTAAGAAAGTTTATATGTAGATATGTAGAGTCCTAAGATTGAGTGGTATGTTTTGTAAGTGTCACATTTAATAAGCAAGCAAAACCATGTTGCTAATAAATTGTTCCAATATATAAACAACTTAATGTTTTGGATTGAAAATACAAATTGTAGAATATTTCAATCAGGCTTTTATTCAAATCAACAAAATAATAACAAGAATTATAATTCCATGCTATGTACAATTAAAAATACATGCAATTTTTATACCTAAATACGACCACATGACACTACATAAGAATCAACACGACTTAAGGGCTTTAAAGGCCCATATAAGAGGATCAGGTCATTCTCGGCCCAAGCCCACCTAACGAAGTGATCAAGCCAAGCCACTTGCCGTAGTGGTTGAGTCAAGCTCACCTGCCTAATTGGTCGTACTAGTCTAGAGCAAACGAGCCAGTGGAAAAGACCATCATTATATCAGAGTACATACATCCATTCCAATTTATGGCACTGTATAGTACTGCACATAATGTAATTTTATATTCGTTCTCATATATATAAAAGGGAGGTTAGAGGGGCTCTAAATGGGCTCTTTGGCTCTCTTGCTCTTTCTCTCTTGTTGTATTGATCTCCCTCTCTTGAAAGAAGACTCGATTTCACACACACACTATGAGGTTCGTTCGATTATAAGATCGGTCGGTTTGATGACATATGAAGAAAAGCTCACACGTGCCTTCAACTCCACTGAGAAATACATGCAAATTGTTTCAGAAGAGTGTTGAAATTGCTCCATTGCCCCCTCACATTGATTCATACTGGGATAGTATTTAGAGGGATATCGCCAACACTTCTCATGAAGTCGTCCTGGTAGAGCCATGAAGTTTAAGAGATCCATGCAGTTCCTTCAACAAAATAATGAATACTGCATGTCTCATGCAGAACATATTGTTAAATCTTGTTGGATGACCCTTAAGCTACTCCCCAACCCATTTGTCCCCAACATATGAGGATGTCATGCATGGAGATCGATCAACATACGAGTTGTAATACTCGTAGATTAAGCATATGACAGTTACAATTTTTCTTCTCCGCCTTCATTCAGTTGCATCCATATAGATCAAATTGTGCTATTTAATACAAAAGCATCAATGAATTAACCACAACCATAAGGTTACGAACAACAACAGAAAAAAATAAGATGCCCTAAATAAGCAAAGTTACAAGTAGTTGAAATATCCAAATCATAATAAAAAAAAATACACAAATATAAATGTCTCAAGCGATTGTAAATAAAAAATTCTCTCAAATGTTCCAGCATTCATAAAAATGTCGTAGGTATGCCACCTTTTTATCTTTGGGAATCTTGACAAAAAAATCTCTACGGGTCGGATCTTCAAGCAACTCTACTGTAAATAAGTGCAACGGCAAATCCTTAGAAATTTCTCTAATTGCATTCAATATTCACATGACCTGGCTGTAGAATTTACTTGAGATGCTGGGGTCTTGCGCTAAAAGAAGCCACCAGTTGTGATATCTGGCTTCTAAGGAAATCAACCCCAACTTCCTTTTTATTCACAACTCGCGGAGCTTAGAACGACAGGTGTACTCAACTTCATGGAGATCCGGGCTGGGGATTTTGATTGAATCACATGTTTGGTCAGCTTTCAAGTTCTCAGGAGTGCCACCAAACCCTGTCTCATTGGGGCACATGCAAAGTTACCCGAAGCAACGACACAGACAAACATCCAATTCAAATTCTCCTTCAGCTCAGGCTCAACTCGACAAATAAATATCTTTGCAGCGGGCACAAGCTGCAAATTCATAACATACACTTCAATTTTTTAAAAAAATGAAATTAATCAAACTAGAGGATATGTCAAAAATGATTACATCAAGTCTTTCTGCCCACGACTCCTTGGGAGCATCAATGGTCCGCTTCATCAGATGTCATCCCAAGCCCGTTGATCCTCGTTTCAATTTCTTCAAAAAGTTTCAATCTTTCTTGAGTTGATCCCACTTATTTTTCAACTATATCCTCTTATACTCTCTGTCTGTACTTTCCTTGAATTTTTTGATAATTTTTTGTCACTTTTTCTTGTTCAAATATGTAGTAAGTTTATTTCTCAGATCAATCTCCTTGAGGCAACTACCACAAAATATTTTTTTGGATTATTTGTCCCTCATTGTGGGTGTATCGGCCTCTTTGGTCTTAGCCATTATATTAATACGATAAAAAAGCAAAATTACATGAATAAAAAAAAAACAGCCACAAAACCTTCCCCCCAAGCCACAACCAGTTAAGCATTGCCAAATTCAGTGTAAAAATCTACATAGAAAAAAATGAACTCTACCAGGTTCTACAAAATAAATCAAATGCAAAATAGGATATAATGAAACTTTTCTCATTGATATCAACAACCTAACAAGCAAATAATAGCAAACAAGCCACAACCACCATCCCAAGCCTCTAACCCTCACCCCAAGCCACTGCTACCACCCCAAGCCATAACCACAGAACCCTCACGCTACAACCACAAAACTTTCACCCTAAGCCACAACCCAAAGTTATCACCCCAACCCACATCCACCCTAAGCCACAGACACCACCCCAAGCCACAACCCAAAACGATCACCTCAAGCCACAACCCAAAACTAACGCCCCAAGCCACAACCACCACTACAAGGCACAACCCCAAAACCATTACCCTAAGCCATAACCATCACTCCAAGCCACAATCTCCACCCCAATCCACTGCCACCACTTTTTGGCCCAAGCCACAAACACAAATCCATCACTCCAAGCCACAACCCAAAACCATCACCCTAAGCCACAACCACCACCCTAAGCCACAACCACAACCCTAATCCATAACCACCACCTCAATCCACAACCATCACTTTTTGGTCCAAGCCATAGCCGCAAAAACTTCACCCCAAGCCACCACACCAAGCTACATGCACCATAATTCTTAGGTATTTACATGCCTAACAGCTAAATTTTAATATTTACATGCATAATACTCAATTTTGCCCCAACAAAAAACCACCTTCACTAATCTTTAAGGGGCATTTTGGTACATGTCATACAACTCTTATGTATTTACATATCTAATAACTAATAAACTTTCATATTTACATGCATAATACTCAAATCTGTACATAAAAAAACCACCTTCACCAATCTATAAGGTGCATTTATATACATGAACCCCTTGAAGGAATTCTGTCAAGCATCTATAAGCATTTTTTTTTTCGTTTTTTTGGAAGACCCTTGTGAAGACCACTCAATTGATATGTATGGACATATCTGAGAGCTAAACTTCATTTTTTACATAGAATTTACCAACAGAAACAACAAGCCACCAATAAATTACCGCAGGACCACATCACACTCCACAACAAACTACCACCTAACAAAGCCAACACAACACCAAAGCAACCACAAAATAATTTTGGGGCATTTACATACATATCACAAAACTCTCATGTATTTTACATATCTCACACATAAACTGTCATATATAGACACATAGCACGAAATACTTTCACAGTAACTTCAAAATTTTGGTGCTTTTTATGGATAATCTACATGGAGGTTTTCTATCTATTGGTACCGTTGTGCTGCGTTGTGACATGAATTTACACTATACTGAACATTATCTTTTCTACCTTTAAGAAAGCTGATAACGAATCTTGGATGGACAATATGCCAAATAATATGCATTCACATGCATAACATTGAATTCTTACGTATTTACATATCCAACATCAAAACATCCAAATAACAAGCACTCACATGTATGCTTGCCTCCAAAGAACTCACCCAAATCTTTCATTTCACGGTTTCTCAAATTCTTGTTCAAAAAACTGAAATAAAATCGATGCTTACCGTTGGAGAACAAAGACTATAGGAACCATGTATGGGGATGTGTGGCAAAACCTTACACGAAGCCGAAGGGAGAAGGAGAAGAGGAAGCGAGAGATCACAGAGTTCAGCCCACGGGTTAAGGCAGACGAGTTCGGCTTCAAAGCTCCGAATCACGAAATAAATGAGGGTAATGACGTAAAAAATTACATGAAAACACCGACCGCGGAGTCGAACCCACGACCTGTGTGCTGTCTGTAGAACGCCGCCGCGAACCACTTAAATTCGCCAATTCACACCGTGTCGCCGCCCCAAACTTGAGAAAATATTACATCCGGACTCCATACGCTATTTGCGTTTAGAGTTCAATGATGAGGCGCCATGTGTTAAGTGGGCCCTCACTTTAAAAATTATAAGTTAAAATATATTATTTTTAAAAATATATTATATCTTAATGGCGCTCACTTAATATGTGACACCCCACCATTGAACTACGGATGAATCTGAAGTTCGTATATAATATTTTGTCCTCAAATGGGCCTAAATATTACATGTTAAAATATATTTTTAAATAGATATTAATAATTTAACAAAACTACAGCCCATCCATAACCTAGGTTTGTTTCCTTCTGCGGCCGCTCCACTAGAAAGCTGCTCTGATCATCGTCGGCAGCTGGTGGCAGTGAGAAGAAAATCACAAGCTCCGTACTTTGATGCGATTTCTTATGATCCCTTTTAGAATTCTCCCTGGTTCGTCGATCTGCCTAATCAGAACAAATTATTTTGCTTCCGCTCTCCTCACCTCTTTCTTATCTATTACGTTTCCCGTCCATTTTGGTGATTTGCAGGGCTTGGCCGACGGGCGCTGCCAGCACTGTTGGGTTTCAGGTCATACTCAGTGGACACGGCGGAGTACGCGCGGAGAAACTATGCTAGCAACATCTCTGAATACAACACCGTTATCGGATCTCTTATCGCCCAGAGGAGGTGAGCTTGCCGTTCTCCACCTTCTCCGTTTCACCTACCTCGTAGTTCTTTTTTCTAAGTGAAATCTTCTTGGAAAATGCCGGTCCAGGGGAAACTTGCTTAGAGATGTATATGATGACATGATGCTCGATGCTGTCCAGCCGCTGAGGGACACCTTCCACTTGCTCATAGTTGGAGCAATGAAGGGAAATCGCCTACAGGACGCCTTTTTCTTCCGAGATGAGATGAAATCCATGGGGCTGCCGCCAGATGTTAGCTTTGATTCTCTTCTGCCCACCCCCCCTTTCCATCCCATATAGCTGATTCTCTCTTCTATATGCAGGTTAACCTCTACAATTTCTTGATATCCGCATGTGGTAGAAGCAAGAATTCTGCCACAGCCATCAAGGCTAAGCTTCAAATCCTTTGCGTTTTATCGTCCATTATTGCTATGTGGCTTTTATATGAATGCTACATATGAAATCTGACATTTTGATTTTTAACATAAAGCTTTTGGAGGAGATGAAGAAACATGGGGTAAAACTTAAAGGGGAGACTTACATTTGCCTGCTCAATGCCTGTGCAGCAACGGGGCGAACGGATCTAGTGTATGCTGTTTGATTGAGGTTCTATGCTTTGTGTTTTTATATGTGCAAGTTTGGAGGAGTTCTGAAGATTTTTTTTCAAGAAATGGTAGCATTATAGGATTTTTCATGCTTAAATGCTTCAACTAATTATTTAGCTTTCTTAATTATACTTCCTACTCTAGTTGTGATCAAAGTTTATAATCTACTTCGAATTTTTTGCAATATTTTTCATGATTTTAATACTTTTTTTTCTTAAATTTCCAGTTAACTTATGAATCACAATTTTCACCCATTCTGATACCACTTAGTTAGCCATTAACGTTAGCCTAAGAAGTGACTATGTGTGATAGTCTTACCTCTTCTGAAGCAATAATGCAACTCACATGCATGCAAAAAATATATATTTTTATACATGCATGCAAATGTAATTCTTTATTCTGTACGTTTGATGTACATACATACCATTCATATAATACTAAGAACTTGTTCTGTACAATACTATACTATAAAGGATATCCTACATCATAGATAATAAATTATACTTGTTAATAATCTATGAATTTCTTATATGTACATCATGTTACAAATTGGTGAACTAGTGTATTTTTATTTTATTAGATTTGTTCCATACATGTGTTGCTATAATGTAAAAGAATTACATTAGGGTAAACTCCTAAAAAATAAATCATAATATTTAATATATTGAATTATAATTGCTTAGCTATTTACTTGAACAAATATGCAAAGCAAAGTGAAGTATGGGCACATATATGCATACGGAATGGTTAAAGAAATTGAAGTAACATTCATGGCCAGAGGAATTTGGCTTGGAAGATGTTATCACATTATCGAGTTCTTTTTCTATTTTGAAGCACATTTGGATATGGTCAAAAGTTGGGAATTAGAGTGTGAGAGATGAGAGGGGACAATTGAGAGAGAAAGAGTTGACTTTTATTTTAATGTGAGTGCGAAGGCATTCTAATCCCTTTGATGATTTGGCGAGGACTTCGTATTAGACTAAAAAAGTTAAAGCTTCATCAGTCTGATCTTTCTTAATTATGGGAATTTAATATGAGTATTGTGAATTATATATCACAACATGTTTAAAAATATACTTAAAATGCATTAAATTTTAACAATTAAAAATGATATTATAAATTTAATACAATATGCTATATATGTTATGTAATAACTATGTGTAGGTAGTATGAATCCATGCAAGGAAAAGCAAAATCTGGTTAAATGTCCATGGAATGGTTCACAATGTGAAGAACATTGATAATGACCATACAAAGTTGGCATGGAATTCATTATTCTGACAGCGATATATTTTTTTCTTTTCAAAATACAATTATTATTGCTATATAGAATTTTGTTACTTTGAATGAGAGATAAGGAGTAGTTTAAACTGTAATTACAAAATGAATATATTGCTTGTTTTAAACAACTAATAGAATGGAGATAAATGTAAGAACATTAGGGAAATTTTTAAGTTAATTTATTGAAAATTTTAGCAATAGAAGCAATGATTGGACAATGTTGAATAAGCAGTTGGATGATATGATTATTGAGATGAATAGTTTGTGATGTGTCCAATGCTATCGTGTTTATTATTGATCAGGACACTATAATTATAGCTGATGCTTGCACTCAATAGGATAAATTTGAAGAACTTTTAAAAAATTAGTTTGCGAGGAGATGAACGTTTTTTTATAAATCATAATTATGGAAGAATGGCTCTGTAATAGTGGCGATTGGATATATATAATAGGATGAGCTACGAGTGACTTCATTGTGGTTATGAAATATGACATACAAATGCAACGTAAGAAGATTAATTGATTTCACAATAGTTTATGATTTTGAAATAATGAATATATACCTAAGAAAATGAAATGATAACTTAATTTCAAATCAAACACCAATCACGACTAAAATTTTATTTATTTAAAACTAACTACTTTTTTAATGATCATAAAGCGATTGTAGTGAAACTTTGACTGCACAACATTCATTGGTTATGGATTATGAGTAAAAGAAATGATAAAAATCAATAATTACCTCATGTATGATGGTGTAATTTGAAAGTTTAGAAATTTATATTATCTTAAAATAGTTTATTATGGTAGGAAAATTGCGATTCTTTAACCCTGCTATACTTGTAGAATAATATAACTAATTTTGTTTGAAGATTTTTATATAAGTTTAGTTGACTTGATAAATAGATTGCATATTGATAATGAGACTTGACAGTAGAGTGGAATATGATGATTCATGAACTTGTAATTGGGATAAGGTTAACGATGATTAGGTATGGGAGGGAGAGAGAGGATAATTGACTTTTATTTTTAATGTTTTCAATTTGGACTTGATGTAGTCAAAAAAATTCAAGGTTTAGTAACATAATCTCAGTTGATTGGGATTAGGAGAAAATTGATAAAATAGTCCGGTCTCTCAGCAAAAGGTTATTTTAGTCCTAGAGTCTATAAAAGTGCTACTGTGGTCCCTAGACTATTTTAATAGGCCTGAAATAGCTCACATGGAGGACTATTTCAGCTCCCATCAAAAGAATTTAGGGACTAATCTGACACTTTTATAGACTCTGGGACTAAAATGAACCAATGTAAATAGTTAGTGGAGTATTTTTGACATTTTACTATCGCCATTATTTTCATACACTCCACTTCATCTTGAAATATATAATGGGAAATAATAGGTTTCACTTGCTGATGACCAACTGAACAACTTTCTTACAAGTGCCTTCTCCAATTGTTTGGTTATAGAAGCGGAAATTGTCACTTCCAATCTTGCTTTTTGTGCTTGTAATGTTGGCTCATGTCTTAGCCCGTTAAGGACATATTAGAAAACCTAAAGTAGTATACAGTACCTTAAATTTTAATTCAACCAATTAATTATTTAGGCCGAGAAATTGTGGTTTGTCAGTAAGCCCCATCTACTAGGGTATGATTATCTTATTTATCATCCAAGTTTAGTTTTTTTTTATATTTGAATAGGATGCCACATAATCCCGAATCATTTACATCTTTTGATGTTATAGTTATGCAATTGTTCGCGACATGACTGCTGCTGGTCTGGGCTTGAACAAATTCTGCTATGCTGGACTTATAACAGCTTTTAAAAACAAGCTTCCCACTACAGATGAGACTACATCAAAAGTATGTATTGCAGATCTATTTTAATTTGGAAGACTTACATGCGTACCACTCAATTCTTATGAATTTATATAAATAACACCTAAAATTCAATTTTAACATATATGCCAAATTATCAATGCATGAAAATGTACATTTCACTTTTCAAAAGTTAAAGTAGTGGGGTTTTTGATGTAATATGAAAGATTTGGGTGATACATATATATAAATCAAAGTTTAATTGTTAGATATGTAAATAAATAAGCATTGGGTTGTACGTATCTAAGTGTCCCTTTTAATGTTGACATACCACGCAATTCTTATGTATTTACATATCTAACACTCGAACTTTGATATTTTTACTTCTAACATTTTGGCGTCATAAAATTATGCATGAAAAGGTGTTTTTCACATTTAAATTGATAATGATGGTGGTATAGTTGATATGATTTAAAGATTTGAGTGATATGCATGTAAATAAGAATGTTTAAGTATTTAAAAGTTAAAATAATGTTTTTTCTAATGTGATATGAAAGATTTGGATGTTATAAATGTAAAAAAATCAAAGTTTAGGTGTTAGATATGTAAAATACATAAAAAATTTGTGCTCTATATGTAAATGCCCTATTTCATTTTTGTTTTTTTTTAGTATTTACGCCTTCTACTACTAAGCTGCTTTTTTAATTTGGAAAGATCATCGAGTTCGTCAAACAGTCAAAGGGGTGGTCTTCTATTGAGACATCAAGTGATGGTGGAGAAAATGTGATGATGAATGTGTCGGAGGAAGAGCTATACAACATTCCCACTGCAGAATATGTGCATAGAAGGGGTTTTTTGAATAGGCAGCTAACAGTCTATCATGTTGCATTGCATGCATGTGCAGATTTGAAGAGTAAAGAGGTATATATTATTTGTCCTCAATTTAAACTTCTGAATTTAGATATTTGCGGAGATCGTATTATCTATTAACATCTTTCCTTAATTTGCATGGTGCGACGTGCTGCCATGAAATTTATTTGAAATTAGGTTATGACCATGGAAAAAGTCAATTGGCCGTTTGGTTTTTTTATTTTTGTTTTTTATTTTGCTTTGTTTATATTTTTATTTGAAAAAAAAAAATTGATATGCTATAACATGTTTAGCTGTCTTTAAAAGGAGTTAAAACAATGTCCTAGATGATTTGTTGTTTTTAATAACAAGTTTCTTTGTTTTTGAAAACAAAAATTAAAAACATGAACAAAAGGCAGCAAACAAACATGTTTCATATATAAAAATAAGAACATAAATTTAAAAAGTGTTTTTTTTTTGGGTGTTCATGTCTTTTTTGGTGTTTTAGCGTCCTCAATCATATGTTTTAAATATTGATAATTTTAGTTAAACTTGTTTATTTTCCTTTTTTAAATTTTATGAATGTGTTTGTTTTTGAGGTTTCTTCCTATTGTAGTATAAGGTTGCTATGGATGATAAGCAATATATCTTGATTTGATATAAACAACTTGAAGTTTTTTTATATTTATTTTTATCAGTAACAAGTTTTAGAACTATTTTACGTGTTTATGTTTTACCATCTGGAAATAATAATTGTCGTAGTTCACTTTTTTTAGTGTAGATCGTTTGTGCTCATAATTTAGAACAAAATTGATAAATGCCTAGCATGTAGCTGACCTTCTTTTGTTTAGTCATTTGTAACAATTTTTGTTTCTATGAGTTGCAGTTATGTTTTATATCAGAATGAAAATTTCTTCTTAGATTGCAGATAAAAGAGTTTAGAGCATAAGTAAGGGTTAATTTAGCACAATGTATGTTTACTTTGGATATTCAGGTTTGATGCAGTTTTTTTTTTCATGTTAATGTAGATATTTTGGACATTAGGCTGGATCAAGAACTGTGTTAATAAGTTCTCCTGAAAGCCTTCTCTTTAGATATTGGCATGACAATAATCATAAGCATTTGTCTCCAGAAAAAAAAAATAGTGAGTCTCAGAAATGATTCCCAAGCTGATTCTGCTTCTCATATATTTAGTTAGTTTGTTTAATCATCTATCTGTCTAAAAGTTTGAGAATCTATTCTAACTGCAAAAATGCCTAAGAAAAAGAATGAGCACAGAGAGAATGTTATAATGGTGGTTAGCTTTTTTTATTTGTTCCATGCTTTAAATTTTTTTTCAGTTTTGATTTCTAGGTACATGACAGCGTAAAAAGTGCAAAGCAATCCAGCTTATTTAGTATAAAGCGGCTTTCTCATTTTAAAAATTTTTACCATTGGATCTTACATAGTAGTAGAAGTTTAATTATCGTTCTGCCTAAATGCCATGCTATTGTGGTATCTATGATATTTGAGTGTCCTTTATGTAAAAAAAAAAGAGGAAGCCTTTTATCTAATTTAGTGGCATTGGCTTTTTTACCTTTGATCATGCTATTCTAGCAATTATAGTTTTCAAGCGATCTTTTTGAAAAATAAATCGGGAAATATTATCTAAACTATGTGGCAGTAGCTTATTCAATGATTCTAAGATGCCATTGCATCTTGCACCATTGGATATGTTGAATCTTTTCTCAGAAAGACTACATGTTACTTGACTTATTCGTCCCCTTAAAAAAACATCATGATAAAATATGATGTAAACTCATGAGCGCACGCAAGGGCATGGGTGATTAAAGAACGTTGACATCCATTAAACATTAATTATGGTTACAAAGTATGGTAAAAAATGTTTATTGTGAAGTGCATTACCATACACATATCTTCCATTCACTCTGACATTATTTGACACGCAAGGATATGAAGGATTAAAGAAATTTGACAATCATTAAACATTATCTATGGTTACAAGGTATAGTAAAAAATGTTTATTGTCAAGTGCATTAACATACATGTACCTATCATTCACCCAGACATTATTTGACAATCTAAATTACTATTGTAAGCCTCAGACAAAACTGCAAACTATTGTAAAGGGCAATTATTAATCAGTACATCGAGCCCTGTTCTACTGGGTAAACTGTAACTCGTTCTGCTTTTTTTTCTGATGATGATTTTCATCTCCTTTTCTTTTTTATATGTGATGTGCCCAGCTCATACTCCATCTTTTCATGGGAATACACGCTATTTTTTGTATTTTACAATTGCCCGAATTACTTGACTTATATGCTTTTCTATGACAACTATAGTTAAATTGGCTTTTTTCTGTGCTCAATCCTAGAATATAATTGTTATATCATTTACTAACAAGAATGCAAAGTCAAGTTAATGTAGATTTGTTTAGACATAATGTGCTATATAGAAAAATAATTACAAATATCTGATAAAGTTCGAAAAATGTAAGAGTGATTAACTTTACGTTTCAATAAAAAAATTTTTAATATTAAGTTGCAGTGACATAAATCTTTATTATTTTATAAAATATGACAAATATAAGTGTTGTTTACAAAATACAAATTCCTTCCTACTCCCTCTATCTAGAAAACAAATATAACGTCACAAGAAAACAAACTGTAGAAAATATGAATACAAGGAAAACACAACTATTGAAAGCACAGGTAGCAGTTATAAAAAATACCACAACTAAGAAGATAATAGGACTTGCTTAGCATTAATTTAGTCAAAATAAAATACCCACACATAAATTTAGCATTATCCGCAATACATGCAATTTAATATAAAAATTAGGTACAAAGAACTTGATAGTGTGAGGATGTTGTTGTCATCTTCCCCAAACATGTACTCATGGTTCTCGAGATATAGTGGTGATAGCGGGAAGGAAAATGTCTGGGACTAGCATCGAGTTGTTGGTTCAATACATGTCCGTAAGCAATTTGTTGAGTGATGTAGTTTGGTCAAATTTATTCAACTAACCACTAAGGATTTAAGAATGCTACTCCCATCTAGTGAATTGTTCTATTTTTGATACTTGATAACGGTGAGGCTCCTGATAGCTTGAGCATCTTACATTTCTTTTTCCCATATGTGCACTTCTAGCACACAATACTTGCGTATTTACATATCTCATACCTAAGCGTTGATATTTACACACATAGCATCTATTCATGAAAATGTGAATTTCACTTATAAAAAGTAGTAATATTGCTATTTTTGATGCAATATTAAAGATTTGAGTGTATTTGTGTAAATTTGAATTTAGGTATGAGATATGTAAATACATAAGAAATGTGTGCTATGCATGTAAATGTCCCTAGCCTTATTTGCGGCACTTGCATGGATGTTGTTTTGTTGCCACGGGCCGAGTCACTGCCATATTTTCTCGAAAGATGTGGAAGATGTTCAGGCAAATAAGTTGCCCAACAGTTATTGACATTTTCTATTGTTTGTCTAGTTGAACGCTACGTGCTCTTTTGTGAGATTGTTTTTTTTTTTAATGTGGTAATCAATAAATTAATTCTAATTATTTCATAGTTATTTTGCATTGTTATTTGATTACGAGTAAATGATATTGGTGTTGCAGTCACTAAGCGCTAAATTATCTTTTTATAACTTTTAGCTTCTCTAAATAAACAGGATTTTTAAGGTTGTCTTTAAATATAAAGCGGATTTGATTGATTTGATACCAGATAATGAATTAGTTCACCTCTTTCCTTTTTTACTGTTTTTTTCAGACGATGGAAACAATTCTTAACATGCTTACAGAGGATGGACTTGCTTATGATTTATTTATTGTCATGCAAGCAATCAGGTAATTTCCGACTAATTGCTTGGATATCATAAAAGAAACAATTTCATACTCTTTTGAATTTATGATCTCTTCTATGCTTTACCCTTGTTTTAATCTTTTATGGAAATAATGTAGCTTTTAAAATGTTTTTCCCTAATGCATTTCTCAAACATTCTATACGCTTTGTTATTGCTGATCAGGAATAGAATTTTTTTAGTTGCATTTACATAGATACCACCCTATTGTTATGTATTTATATATTTAACATCTAAAAGTTTCTTTTTTGCATTTATACCACCCAAATCTTTCATGTCACATAAAAAATTCACTATTTAAAAAGAGAACACACCTTTTCATGCTTAGGTAAGGTGGCATCACCTTTTCATGCTGGTAAGGTGGCATATATATGTAAAAATTGAAGTTTAGGTGTTAAATATGTAAATACATAAGAATTGCCTTTTTCTTTTTTGGCATTGAGACATGTGTATCTCAATGCTTTGCTTAGGATGCGTCAATTTATGAATGAATTGATCACAACTATAAAAAATAGGAAGTAAACGCTGACTTTTTCGGTACACATTGGATAAGACAATGAGGCTTATGTTGATTGAGACCAATCAGGCCACAGATTCATCTTGACCAGTATTTGATACAGTTATTTGGAAAGTCTGAAATATAAATGATAATATAGTTAAACAACTTTTAAATGCTAAATTCTGTTATTGAAGTGGAGCAATATAACATTCCAGTCGTCCTATAAGTTGCCCTGTCTATTGTTGACAATTGTGCTTTCTTTCTACTATTCGTAGAATTACTGAAGCAGCTCACGGATATGATAATCAATGTGGAGAGATGTAGTAAATTATTGTATAGTGGGGTTGTCCTTGTTTTCTAAAATGAGTTAGTTAATTACTGTTGAAGCTGAATAAGTTCAGGAATCCTAAAATCCTAAACCCTGCAGTATTGGAGTGGAAGGTTTAGAGGTTGGAGGGTGCTACTCTGGTTCTCCATCGGCCTGCACCGTTGAAGATTCCATTGTTCACTGATTTGCTCTATGGTGAGAGTGCTTGGCTCAATTGGGCTTTCAGTGCGGCACCTATATTCTTGCCAAGCATTGCTGTTGTGCTCGATGGACAGACCCCATGTGCTTCGTTTTATAATTCAATGTCCTCATAAACCATTTAGCAATTTAACCCTTTTTGGCTTTTTTATTCGATAATTTCTGCATTGCCAGTCTTTACGGGATTTGGTGCCCTTCTTCAACAATGGTGCTGGATGATCCTCACACTTAGGCAACTGTCATTCTTATTTTAATTTTGCCAGTTTTTCTGCATGGAGGTAACGTCTAGTAATCCTCAGACCTCCCATGATTTCTCTCTATATAATATGCTTTTTCATAGAAAAGCAACTCAGTAATTTCCAAATCAACCTAAATTATTTTATAAGCATGCACTAATAAAATGTTTATAGTGCTCCTATTGGCATCATACAGGACCATTCTTGGTTGGGAAGGAGCCTATAAATTTTCTTTCAGACAAAGAGGTCATGTTTTGGCTAAAATTGACCCTAAATAGTTGGGTTAAGGTTATTAATGAGGATTATTGTAAAAAGGGAATTCATAATTTTTTGAGAAAAGGAGCTTACGGTAATCATTAAGAACTTGACCATTGATAATAAAGCAAAAATTGAAGTAACAATTGTAATATTGATGTTATGTATCTTTTTGGCATCCTGAAAGTGCTGCAAATTTCATATAACTCATTTTTCTTGTGATACTGGAGTTAACCTAAACCACAACAGAACAAAAATAATTATTGAAGAAATTCAAAAGTTACAACGATGACTCCTCAAAACAAGAATAAGAGAACACAAAACATATAAACACCCTCTAGGGCGAGGACGACAGCTTTGGAAGGGACTAGAAGTGGGTGCTACAATGCTGGAGAAAGTCGGGAATAGCAGCGTCATGCTGGAAAGGGTTGGAGACAAGGGTGGCAATGCTGGAATGATCTAGGAGTTGCGACAGCCTGGAACATGTTGGAGGCAGGGAGTGGCTTAACTGGAATGAACATGAGACTCTTATGGCAGTCAGTGAGGTGTTGGTGGCAGGGAGCGACAATGCTAGAGGGAGCAGGGGGCTGCTACGGTAGCCTGGGAGGTGCTGGAGTGGTCGACGATAGCTAGACATATGTTGGATGGCCAGCGGCAGCAGGACAAGTGCTGGAAGGAAAGTGACAGCAGGAAGGGGAAGGAACATTTAGAGATAATTCCGCACCTCAGACGAGTTATAACCGGAGTACCTTCTCGTCTTCGGATACAACCATTGGAAAGGAGAAACACTCGAAGGCAGCAATCTGAAATCTGAAAACAATGAAATAGTAAATCCTAAGCAAGCAATCAACACATATATAATAGATACTAGTAGTTAGAATAGGAAGGAACTAGAATATGAAAGAAATAGAATTAGGAACGGGATAAAAAGGCATGGAATAGAATTGGAAGGAAATTCCCTTCATGGAAGGGAATAAAATAAGAAACAAGAGGGGGAAAGGGGTGGTAATTCTTGCTCCATTAGAAAGCTGGTCGGTCCAGCCTCCCTGCTGGACCGACACCCACATGTTGGACTTACCGGCCTAGCCCATCAATCCCGCGTCAATCTCTTGGGGTTGGGAGAGCTTCGACTTCATTCATCGAAGCTTCTGGGTCCTCATAATACAGAGTCAAGTTCGTGATATTGAACGTAGTGGAAACATTGTTGTCCTCTGGCAGGTCGATCTTAAGGCGTTTTTATTTAGTTTTCGAAGTATCCTGAAAGGTCCATCTGCTCTGGGTTTGAGTTTCCCAAATGCCCCAACTTGAAATCTCTCATTCTTTAGCCAAATCCACACGTGGTACTTTTTGGCCTTATTTGCCTGAGCCTGATATTTGTGGTTTTGCTTAGTGATCTCCTTCCCAACCTCCTCGTGGAGCTTCTGCATCTCGTGAGTCCGTTCTTCAATATCCTCATTGATCTTTGATGTCAACAGGATTGGTACTAACTGAAGTGGGGTGAGCAGGTTGTGCTCGTACACAATCTTGAACGGAGTGCGTCCTGTGGTTTGACTGACGTAACAACACGAAAAGTTGAGAATAGGTTTAATATTTGATTTTTTGGTATTATATACTATATATTGCTCATTAATGTGAGGGTAAATAAATATGGCAGCGAAAAAAAAAAAGATAAAAAAATATCGATGTTTTGAAGGTAGAAATTTAACTGATATACGAGATAATGAAGACCACCTCCACCACCACCACAACAACAAACATTTATCCCATTAAGTGGGGCCGACTACATGAATCCTTTTTCTCCTTTGTCCTATTGAGTATCATATTTTCATTTAATTCTAATAAATTAAGATCTTTTTTTGATACAACAACAACAACAAAGCCTTAATCCCACTAAGTGGTGTCGGCTACATGAATTCTTTTTCTCCATTTTCCTATTTGGAGTCATATTTTCATTTAATTCTAATAAATTAATTCATTTTTTATACATTAAGCTCAAGGCTTCCTAGGTCCATCTTTGTCTTTCTTAACATAAGTCGAATCTAAAACATCTACTCTCCTAATTGGATCATCGGATGAGATGATCGACGTTTAATGTGACCGTGACCAACCATCTAAGACAACTCTATCTAATTTTGTCCGTCACTGGAGCTACAATTCTTTTTAGGTATACCTCTACCTTTCTTAACAAAAGTCAAATTTAAGACATTTACCGGGTCGTCAAATTGACTTAACATATATTTGATATAATGAAGACCAAAATATCAAAATAAAATGAATAGGATAGACTTAACATTATATAAATTTATGTGTCAAAACAAATGAAACAAAAAATATTACTAAGAAGTTAGCTTAGCTATAAAACAAAAATTTTACAAAGAACATGATTTATAATTTACTTCATTGAATAATGCTCCGCAAAAAATATGTAATCAATGTAAAAAAGTTTATAATATGAAATTTGACATGTGGTCTACCAATGAAAACTTGACAACCTTCAGGGAATTTTAAGTTATGACCTCATCAAACATAAAAAAGATCAGATCATGATGTTTGATGTACAAAAACCATAGCTCCCTATACATAGATGGAAGAAACCAAGAATTAATAGAACCAGATATTATGTCAAAAATATAAAGCAATATATCTCATATTTCCTAACTAGGCTTTTTGTTTTGCTTCAATTTTGTGTAAGGAGGGATGATGTGCCAAAGGGAGCTAAGGAATTGAGGAGGGGTAATTGAAGGAGAGATGAAAAGTTGTAGGGGTGTAACGAATTAAACTTGATCTAGCCTAGTGCTTGATCATGTTTGGCTCAATTCGAACTCATTTGTTAATTTCAGCCCGTGTTCGGCTTAAATTAAGCTTGAATGATTTAAAAATAATAAATATAATATTTTCTTAGATACAATATACAAAATCAATATAAAAAATATAAAAAATATTGATAATTTAATTATTTAATTAATTTGAGCAAAAAATGTCGAACACAATCAAATAAAGATTTATTCACGTTTGGATTGTATATAGATAGAGCTAATAAACATGTTTTGTTTTCTTGTTTAAGAAATGAATTGAACACGAGCTGTTATGAGCGAGCTCTTTTGACAACACTATATGAGTGAAAATCTTACATTGAAGCTTACTTGGCTTTATAGATTAATGGCTAAAGCATAATTAAGGGCTGCAGCTTATTAAAAGGCTAACACGCAACAACTATGGGAAGAAGCTGCTACGCAGAGGTTGCTGTGGAGAAGCTGACTGTCTGTTTGTTTTTTGCAGTTTTGAAACAGCTGTGTTGAAGTTGTTTCTGATCAAATGACATTTTTGCCCTTATACTTTAGTGTTGTTTATAACAAACTAATCTTGCAACCACAAAACAAATTTCTAGTTTGAATGTTATAAAATAAAAAAAATACATCACAAAATTGTGAATAACATGACAATCAAATAAAGAAAAGTATTAAAATAAT